CTGCCCCTGCCCAGGCATTGGAACTGCAGTGAGGTCTCCCCTCAGTCTCCTCTGCTCCAGCTGAACACACCAAGTGTCCTCAGTGTCCTCACACGGCTTCAAACCAAGATCTTTCCCCACCTCGTGTCCCTCCTTTAGCTCTTTCTTACCCTGTAGCCCCCAAAGCTGCCCCAGGAGTTGAGGTGAGGCCACCCCAGTGCAGAACAGAGAGGGACAATCCCCTCCCTCCACCAGAACCTCCAATTCCACCCTAATTTTGAGGAGTGAGGACTCCAAAAACAAACCCTTCCTGAGGTTTTTCAGGCAGCAGCTCCAACGATCGATTCACTCACTCCAAGAAAGTTTCCTTTTCATGCTCTAAGAGCAGCATCCAAATGACCTTACCTGTGTCCCCCAGTTCCTGTTACTGTTCCATGTTCTCCTCCAGCACTCAGCAGAGTCAATGCTTGTCTTTCTTTCGCCTGTTGGAAGCTGGATCGGCCTTTTATGGGCTTTTTTTTCACCGTTATAAATATAGATGGAGTATATATATATATATATATGTGTATATTTGTTCTGAAGTATCGCGTCTGACCGTTTGTTATGGCATGAACAGTTCCTCTTTCAGCGTCAGGAGCACAGTTTTATCTGGCATGGGAGCTGTGTTTAGTCTACATCCCCCTATACCTTTTCCTTTAACAATATTTGTCTAATTATGGCTCCACGGATTCGTTTGGCTCGGGAAGGAAAGGTGGTTTTGTTTTTTATTTTTGGACGTGCTTTGGGTGGTGGTGGATGCTTTGAGTGACCCCAAGCAACTCCCACGTGCTCCTTGGGTGCTCCTGAAATGCAGGAGCAGCTGTTGAATCCCACTGGACAATATTCCTGTCTGGAATAAGTAAGATATTGAGGGAAAGGGGTGATTTTGGGGTGTAGGAACATGATCCCTGGTGGGCAAGAAGGTCAGTGACACCAGGTTTGTGCCACAGTGTGGTCACAGTTCCAGGGAAGTGATTGTCCCTCTGTGCTGGGCACTGGTGAGGTCTCACCTCCAGTGCTGTGTCCAGTTTTGGGACCCTCATGGCCAGAAGGACACAGAGGGGCTGGAGCATGTCCAGGGAAGGGAGGGGAGCTGGGAAGGGGCTGGAGCAGCAGGAGCAGCTGAGGGAGCTGGGGGGGCTCATCCTGGAGAAAAGGAGGCTCAGGGGGGACCTTCTGGCTCTGCAACCCCCTGACAGGAGGGGGGAGCCGGGGGGGTTCTTTTCCAAAAAAACAAGTGACAGGATAAGAGGAAGTGGCCTCAAGTTGCGCCAGGGGAGGCTCAGGTTGGACATGAGGAGGAATTTCTCCCTGGAAAGGGTGGTGAGGCCTTGGCAGGGGCTGCCCAGGGAGGTTTGGAGTGCCCAGCCCTGGAGGTGTCCCAGGAAGGCCTGGCCCTGGCACTCAGTGCTCTGGGCTGGAGGACAAGGGGGGCATCGGGCACAGCTTGAACTCCATGACCTTGAAGGTCTTTCCCAACCCAAATGACCCTGTGACTCTCAATATTTGGGGGTTGGACCCCACGACCTCCAATGGTCCCTTCCAACCCAAACTATTCCGTGACAGGTTGATGGAAATGGGGTCAGGATAGATGGAAACTGTTTTCTGGAGAAACCTTAGGCCAGATCTGTGAGTTCCTCAGGGAGCTCCTGGCCTGGTGGAGCACCAGGATGACCTTGTAGTCACTGATGGATGTGATCTCCACCAGATTTTCTTGTCGTGATCTGAAGGTGGATCTTCCTCTCTTGGTGTTGTGGCTTGTAAAGCACTCAGGGAAGGAGGGCCACGGCTTGGGAAGGTGAGGGAGTGAGGAAACAGGGCCAGCAGAGCTGCTGGTGGAGCTTGGTTCTCTCCAAGGGCTGGGCTGGGACCACAAAGCCGCAGAACCTCATCCCAAACCCAGTGGAGGAATGTCGTGGGTGTCCTGGGCTCCCATCACGTCATGGGGCCGGACACTCTGGGAGCATTTCCCAGCCCAGAGC